TTCTACACATTTGGCCAGTGGGAGTCTACTGCATGCTTTAGAGAGGTTCAGTCCTTCACAGGCTGTGTGTGCACCCTTTAGGCCAACTAGCTTTCCAGTGCCACTCACTGACCTTAGCTACTTGAAACAATAGAAAGTATAGAATTATAAGTTCTTACTTTTTTTTGAAGGTGTGAGTTTCCCCACAAAAATCAAGATACAGAACTCTCAGCCCTTCTCCAGCACTAGGTCTGCCTGCACACCACCTGCCATAACAATAATGGCCTAAACCTCTGAACTATAGGGCAGCCCTAATTAAATGGTTTCCTTTATAAGAGTGGCCATGGTCATGGTGTCCATTCACATCAATAGAATCCTAAGACAGCCAGTAAAAATAACTCCCTGGAAGTTTTCTTTAAATCATAGATTAAGCAGAGCAATTTTTTATTTTTACTATTCCATCAAACAGACTGCTCTTACGACCTCCCAGGACTAATTGTTTATGGCTATATAAACTGGTAAAATTCACTCGTAATAAAAATCAAACACTTCAACTAATATTTCATACACAGCTAACTGAGCCTATATCTCTTGCCATGCCTCACCTTACACGTTACTAGGCATTTAAAACTACTGAGGCTTGCTATAGTGTATATACAGTATCTCTTCCACAATCCAGCCTAAAGAAACTTTTCATCTTGATTCTATCTTTTCATCCAAGTTGTTAAAGATATTGACAGTAACCACTAGGAAGCCAGTAGGACTACCTTTTATATTTGAATATGTACTTTTCAATATTGATCCTTTAGATGTCTTTTGAGAGAGTTGGGGGATTCATTTAATGGGTGTAAGAAATGTATAACATTGTGCACAATGATCTATATACTCAGGTCTGATTTTTCTTAACAACTCTGCATACATTATGTCTTTATGATGGTGGCACTCAAGCAGTTACCATTTCTCAAGTTTTCATCAGTGAAAGGGGAAATACACTTAACACAGCTTATCCTGTCTGCCCGAATCTTCCCATTTGCATATCCTAAGTGAAACATAAATAGATCCCTTTCTTGTCACAGCATTTTCCATATTCTAGACTTGACCCTCACAGAACTTGTGTGTTGGAAGGACAAGTGGTTCTGGTTTCAGGCAACCAGCAGAGCACCATTTGATTAACAAGAGCTCCTTGAAGGTAGCCTGGATGCCCTGCCCTAGAAAAGTTCCTGCTTGTGGGAAAATCATTACCACCAAGTAAAACGCTGTCCTTGTCATTCCATGTCCTCCGCACCCAAAAGCCATTTTCCCTGTTTGAGTTGTTCCCCATATGGGATCTTGACACCCAAGCAGTCAGTATCAGCATAAAAGGAGAGCACTGGAGACTGAACTATTTGTGACTTGAGTGAGTAAAAGTGGTACTGGTGACCCTAATGAGACCTAAGTGAAGACCATGTTCAGAAAGCATGGAGAATTCTTGTAAACAGACTACCTTGAAGCAGAGGCTAATGTGCACATAGTATGCTTCCAGACCTGCCCAGATCACAAGTGATGAAGTGGGCCTGAGCATGATTTTCTCAGTAACAGCAGTTTGTCAAACTGATGTGAGGACAGAAGCAGCCAGCATCTCCTTCATTCCTGACATCCAGTCCCCAAGAGCCACTGAAATCACAACCCAATACCTGACACGAGGGATTTATGACTCGAATAACACACTTCAAATTTCAGAACATGACCAAATCTACTGGAATGTACCCCAGGGTAAGAACTTGTTGGAGACCCCACTTTCAAATCAGTAGATAAACAGAAAGGCATCTGAGTGGTGTGTGCCACAGTGGTGGGCCTTCCCTGTTAACCTGGCTAAGACAATAGAGGAAATCTCTTTCCTATTGGTCCTGTCCATGTCCAACATCTACCCAAGATTAACTGTTGTCTCAACTCAAGCCTGTTTTAAAAATGAGAAGCCTGGGCCCTCTGGTTTGCTGTATTTTACTGTCACTGAAAATAAGCTGGATGGGGGTGGTGGGATAGGAGTTGGGTTAGCAATGGTATGTGAATACTTGTACTATTTTTGGATTGTGAATGTCTGCCAAAAGTGATGGTTTTATGTCTTTTGTATTGTTTTCCCTTCCTATACCTTACTATATATAAGCTTAATATGTGGCTTTTAAAAAGAACATTTTAAACCATTTTAAATTCATCTTTCAACTTCAACAATCAAGTGAAAAAAATCAGAGATGAGCAACTTTATCTTATTTGTGGTATTTTTGTAAGATTTTTACAGGCCAGGATTTAATAACACTTTTGCTTTTGTAACTTAATTCTTAAGATACATTTACAAAACCTCTGTGGACAGAGGTTTAATAAATTTTCTTATACATAAAAAGTAAAACAATACATGTCATTCATTGAAACCATCCTCACTTTTCTTATTGAGGTTCAATAGGAGAAAACTCAGGAGAGAGTCTTGTACACATTCACACATATGTACACATACATGCACATGAAGGATTCCATGGATCCTATCTGTGGGAATAGGAACACAATGATGCCTTTATAAAGGTTCAGAAGGAACTATAAAGCATTCCAGACTCTGGGACTCACTGTTGCCTGCCTTCCTGCCTTTTTCTCCTAGTACCTTTCAAACCAAAGTGGCAGTGGCAGTGACAAGTTACTCTGGTTTAATAACTGATCTAACAACCATAATTTAAACCCAAGTCATCCTGAGGCCAAAGTCATCTCCCTGGTCCTTGTGATCCACAGTCTGATGATCTGACTGTCAGTGAAGCTGTGGGTCCTTCAAGAAAACTGACCAGAGAGAAGAAAAGTCTGCCTGTGAATGGTGGGGCTAGGAGAAACACATGGCAAAGACATAGATTCAGCAAGAAGAAAATGAAGGGGTGAGACCCAGTTAGAGGTGGGGTTATAGTGAGGAAGCTGGGAAGTAGAGGGCGTAGGTTGGTAAGGCCAGCTACATAGTTAGTGTGTCTCTCCTGCCAGTCATTGTGCAGGCAAAAAAAACCCTCAACAGATACTTCCAGTGAACAGCTCTATAAACATTTGATGAAGCATAAACACAAAGGAAACCCTAGCACCTGGTCCATTCTTCAGTCCTCTGACTGCACTTGTAAATGGGAGAACTAGAATATCAACAAATTATCTGAAACTGTGACAGGACAGTGAGTGTTCAGTTGCTCTGCCTTGGAGGATTCCAGCCCTAGACTGGGAGTGGAGAATGAGGATGGGGCTCAGCTCTCCAAGCTAATGCAATGCTTGCTAGCTATATGCTGAGCTCAGCAAAATAAGACTGCCCCAGGCCTTCTCCATCTGCTTAAGGTTCTTCCAGGGTGTGAAGGAATTTATTATTTGATCTAACAGTATCTACTTTTCACCTCAAATTCTCTCACATGCTCACCACAGATTGTCTACTCAAAGTGGCAAATGAAAGTAGAAGTGACACTAGGCCCTGGAGAACCTTCAGGGCAGGAAGAGCAAGGGAGGAGTTACTGTAAGTGTCACTGTTTTACAGCCCCAATGTGGGTTCTAAGCTGTCCCAGGTTTACTTTGATCTAACGGTTGTTTCTCATTAAATTCATTTTCAGTGTATAATCTGGCTATTTGACTGTTTGGCTAAAAGCTCTAATGCTTTTGGCTTCCTTTCTCTGAACTCTGCAGGCCCAACAGTGCTGAGCAGTTGACTGCAAGACAGCAATTATCTGGAGCTGAGTTACAGATTCCTGGTCACCTCACCCTGTTACTAACAGGCTGGAATAAGACACTGGAATAAGGTTTGCCTCTCTGCTGCCTGCCCCAATGTAGGATTTGGGGAGGAGACTCCATTGTCAACCTCCCTCCCAGAATGCCTTGCCAATGTAAGGTTATCGGAACACTGCTATTCCCAGTAATATTCTCAATAGGGGTTTCCGGTGAGCAGCTCTACAAACATTTGATCAAGTATAAAAACAAAGGAAATCCTAGCACCTGGTCCATTCTTCAGTCCATTGACTGCACCTGTAAATGGGAGAACTAGAATGCCAAATGCAACGCATAGTTAGGAAATAGTGTGAGCAGCATGAAGCTTTCAGGACAGCTCATCTATATGAAAAACAATCAGACCATACAGTAGTGAAAGGGGGAAGTTGAGCCTAGAGGATTATGGCACCACCAAGTCCAGTGAGGTACAGTGATGCCTAAGAGTTGGGCTACACTTGTAATTTTTAATTTCCCAGAAGCCCCAAGAAGAAGTAAAAAGAAGCCCATAGAATGAGCTTGTATAATAGATGCTATCCAACTCAATCTACCTACATCATTTCCACCCATAACCAATACAGACATTATTAACATGGTATTTTAGCTAAATTCTAAGTCTATTTTACACATAGGGGACTTTTTCATTTGGATCGGCTGCTTTCCTAGCACTCAACAAAACCACAAATCTGCCATCTTATTGCACAGCTGTAGAGGTAATTACTTATTAATAAATAAGTATAATTAATTAATTATTCATGTAATAGATACATGTGATTAATACATAAGAATAGTAGAGCTATAGGTGAAGAGACAAGATGGGAATCTGACACCTTCTAATATATGAACCAAGATTCTGGGTTCACTTCAACCTCTGTTCACTCTGCTGTCCTTCCCACTGTCTTATTTTCTCATTGCCTAGTCTCAGTGCCCCTATCAGTGCCCACACTGCTGGAGTGTGGACAGACCGGGGTGTAAAGAGTCAAGGAATTGGCTGGATTTCCAGCCTGTCTAACGACCTTGGGTGAGTTACCTAACCTCCTTGCTCTCAGATTTCTTTTCTAGTGGGTAGGATTAGTTCCTTCAGTGCTTCGTTGTGAGGATTATGTGAGTTCATAAATATAAACTGCTCAGCATCAAATGCACACTATAGAGCTTTCAAATCTTAGTGACCTTTTTTTTTAAGATTTATGTAAGTTTAGAATAAAGGACAGAAGAAAGCAGAAAGGAAAGAGAAAAATTGAATGTGCTAAAGTCTCAGCCTCAGCCTCACTTCTCAGCACCTGGTGCCTCTTTCAAGCCTCCCTTGATCTCAGTAGCTCGGTGACTTCTCCCCAGAGCACCAAGCCCAGACTGTGCAGACAAACCAACAGAAGAAGAATAAGAAAAGGAAGTTTCCACTTTCACCAATTTGTCCAATGCTGTAGTGACCCAGGTGGTCAGGGGGTATAACCTCAGTGAACACAATGGGGGGATGCACCCCCATGACCCTGTCTACTTCTCAGACTGCCATCCAGAGATACAACTTGCTCAGTCCCTGCAGGTCTCCCTTGTTACCAGACCCAAATCCTTGCAGGACCTAGAACCAGCAGCATTGCTGCCACAGTCTCTCCTCTACTGTACCTGCAAACAACCTTTGCCCACTTGGAGAAAAGGTGAAAAGGCAGGAGACTCACCAGTTCATTCTCCTCTCCTTCATTGAGCAAAGCCTGGTGGACATTCTTACTCTTCTCCATCTAGACCAGCATGTGGGGCTTCTTTCCTACTATTTTGTGGCGGGGAATGTCAGAGCCACCTGCACCTCTGGGACTCAGGCGCTTCTTGTCATTGCCGTTCTCAGGTGCTTACAAAACCCACTGGCACCTTGCCCGTTAAAACAACAAAAGAGAACGGAAAGGCTCTCCACGACCACAGGATTGGTCTGCTAATTTATATGCTTGATGTGTGTTTTTTCTTCCTGGTGTTTATTTACTGAGCTACATGTGAAGGGCCTCCAGACTAGAGGAATGATGTAAGGGGGGGCTGTTGCACTAAATAGTAACTTCATATGCAGCCCATGAAAGTCCCCACCAAATAATGGGAATGGCCACTGTGCTAAAAACACAAGACAATAGAGTCCTATTTGTCTCTTGAGAGCAGTGGGAGCTCATGGAATTTAGAGAAGCTGTGAACACAGCGAGTGTGGCAATGGAAACTGGAGGAAGAAAATGTAGGATTCCTTCTGGAATTGGAAGAAAATGGAGTTTTAATCCATGCTCTGCTGATGACCCCGGATAAATCACTTATAATCTGAATTTCCGGCTTCTGATATGTAAAATGTCAATGATAATTATAGGGATGATATGAGAGTTCATGATGATGTTTGCAAAAGGGCAAGTGTAACTTCTGCCACCTCCAGTGAGAGACAGGCAATCATCTTTGCCGCAATCATGGCGCTAATCAAGGAGAGATGCTTTGGAAAATGAACTACAGAATAACTTGATTCCATAGTTTACAAAGCTGGAAGGGAGGGAGAGAAGAGCAAGAGAGATGAGTATTAAAGACATAACCTGACTTTTCCACCCCTGAATAATTCCATTCTTGGGTTAACTGGTTAATTTGTAACTGTGTGTGTGTGTGCACGCGCGCGCGCACACACACACACACACACACACACACACACACACACACACACACGGAGAGAGAGAGAGACACACACACACACACACACACACGCATGCACAGGCGTGCATGCGCGCACACACACACACCCCAAATTTTTTCATTTTCTTGTGGTTTGTTTCATCTACTCTACTGAAGGGAATCCTTGACCCTGTATAAGAAAGTTGACTAAGGTGGAAAACATTTCCTGTTGCTTGAGTGGGCTCATGTGTCCTCCTTGGCATTCAGGACAGATCAAGGTATTTCCCAGCCCTAGAAGACATCACTGATGAGAACACACACAGAGTTGTAGCCTTTTACATCAGCAAAGTGACTGAGGTGCTCCTTGTCCAGAAATCTAATGGTGTCACAAATGTTGTAGTCCAACAGCAAGTCAGATTCAGATATGAGGATAGCATTCTGTTAAGCTCCAATGAAAGGCGTGCATGACCACTCTTTACCTCTTACCCGTAATCCCACTCGTGTTTCTTGATAAGTAATATCAGATATTTTTCTAGGTGACATGACTAAAATGAAATGTACCAATGAGTCATGGCTTGTCTGAAGTAGACTGAGGACCCCATTCTAAACAATGACAATAGCAACAACTAAGGACAGCTGAGTGGCAGATTATCCTGGTATTGAAGTGGAAAGGTTTTATGGTTTCTTTCTTTCTTCTTCTTCTTTCTTTCTTTCTTTCTTTCTTCCTTTCTTTCTTCCTTCCTTCCTTCCTTTTCTTTCTCTCCCTTCCTTCCTTTCTTTTCTTTCTTCCTCCCTTTTCTTCCTTTCTCTCCATTCCTTTCTTCCTTTTTTCTCTCTCTTCCTTCCTTCCTTCCTTCCTTCCTTCTTTCCTTCCTTTCTTTCTTCCTTCCTTCCTTCCTTCCTTCCTTCCTTCCTTCCTTTCTTTTCTTGCTTTCTTTCACTTTCTTTATTCCCTCCTTTGAAAATGCATGTGAGGATGCTGTGCTTCAAGCCCAGGGATTGTATGATCTGGAGGAAAGCGAGCGTCTCCAGCTCTGCTGCATAAGTCTTACTCAATGAAGAAGGTGGGAAAGGTAGAGCAGGTTAGAACCATGCCTTACCCTCTCCTTGACAGAGACAAGTTTTTCAACACCCACTTCTCAGTGTTTCTCAGCCTGTGGGTCCTAATCCCCTTGGATGTTGCATATCAGAGATCCTGCATATCAGATATTGACCTTCTGATTCGTAACAGTATCGAAATTACAGTCATGAAGTAGTAACAAAATAATTTTATGGTTGGGGTCACCACAACATGAGGAACTGTGTGTATTAAATGGTACACCATTACTTCAGGTGACAATCACTGCTCTAACAGGAAACAAGATTTGGATGTCTGATCTAGGTCTCAAAGCTCTTTTGCTATTGTCTCCACTTACCACCATAGCCTTACTGGAACCTTTTACCTCATCAATACTATTGCATTACCTACATGGGAAAATGGTTTAATTAAGATAAAAAGGAACCATTTTCAGAATTTTGAGGCTTTCCATATTTGACAGTACAATCTTCAACTTATAAGTTTTTAGAGATATACCCTTATGAAGATCTGGGACACCAGAGGGCAGTGTGTTAAGGTTTGTATGAATCAGTCTTGGAAGGAGTACTCTGTATGCCTAAAGATGGGCCATATCTCAAGCAGATGACCACACTTCCCTGCAAAGTGAACTATAATATGAACCAGGTGAATGCCAGGAAGGCGACAGGGATTTGGTGGCCACCTAGTCAGTCTCAGAGAGCAGCAAAGGGACAGGTCAGCCCAGATCTCTAGAGAGTCATAGTACAGAGAAGAGCAAAATGACACCATAATGGAAGGACTAATGTGAAAAGCAGAAGTGAGGAAGGCTTGCTTGGGAGCTTAGAAAAGAGAAGAGGAGCAGACATTGAAGTCTCTGGAGCAAGTGACAGAATATAGAGATGTTACTGTATCTCATTGAATGACCTACAATCTTTTTGCAACAATTACACAGGCAAAGAAGGCATGTGAATTTCGGCACATGGCCAAAACATAGACTCAAGTGCCCCGTCCCTCTCATCATAGGCAGAGCCAACAACCCTACATCCCTTACATCCTAACAGGACCACAGCAACCACACATTCTCTACAGATAGAATAGGACAAAGGCATTTATTTACTACACAATAATATGGCTGCTCACAGTGAAAGTGTAATTGTGATCTTTCCCATTCTCTACCTTAAATTTCAATTTAGAATATCAATAAACTAAGAATTTTATGACAAAACTGAAAGACCCGCTCGAAATGCCCCTGAGCCCCCTGCCCCGAAGCTGCCGGGGCCTCCCAAGCCTTCACCCCGGCAGGGCTCGCGCCCCGGGGGGCCCCGCGCCTCGGGGCTGGGGCCGAGCAACGAGCACCGGGTGGGGCCGGCCGGAGAACGAGCACCAGGTGGGCCAGCCCGAGAACGAGCACCGGGTGGGCCGGCACGAGGGCGAGCACCAGGTGGGTCAGCACGAGAACAAACACCGAGTGAGCCGGCCTGGATTTCGCCTCATTTGAAAGACTCTGTGTTTCACCTCATTTGAATAACTCTGTACTTTGCCTTATTTGAATAACCCTGTATAGCGTCTCATATACATTGACCAATGGGAATAGCTCTGTATAATGCCTCATTAGAATTATCCAATAGAATCCCTGCTCCTAGCTTGCGCCTTTTTCCCTATATAAGGACCCCTTTCCCTTGGCTCGGGGCGCTTAGCCACACAGAAGCTAAGTCGCCCCGGGTACCCGCGTCTCCAATAAAGCCTCTTGTTTTTTGCATCCAGTTCGTGGCCTCGCTGATTCCTGGGTGTGGGTCTCCCTCTACGAAAGTACCTCTTCGGGGGTCTTTCAAAACCATAGATGAGTAGAAACAAAATCACATTATCAAGGGACATAAAGGAGAAAGAGACCCTTAATTCCTAAAAGGTCTTTAAGTGGCTGGAGAGATGGTTCAGCAGTTAAGGGCATTGGCTGCTCTTCCAGAGGACCTGGGTCTAATTCCCAACACTGACATGGCAGCTCACAATGGTCTGTAACTACAGTTCCATGTGGTTTAACACTTTCTTCTGGCCTCCACTGGCATCAGGCACGAAGGTGATATACAGATATACACACACAGAAACAACTATACTCATTTAAAAAAATAAAGGACATTAAATTGTGTGTGTGTGTGTGTGTGTGTGTGTGTGTGTGTGTGTGTCCAATGTGCAGGTGCCTATGAATACCAGAGCGTGCATTAAATCTCTAGAACAGAGTTACAGGAATTTTAAACCATTTGACATGAGTGCTGGGAACTTAACTCAGGTCCTTTGGAACAGCCAATGCTCTTAACCACTGAACCATCACTCAAGCCTCCAAAGGGGCCTTTCTGTATTGCCTGTGGACTTGTTTGTGAATCAGTGTTAGGACTGAAGATAGATCAGAAACAAAGCAGACGACAGTTTTGTCCTTAATGAGTTCAAAGCCCAGCCAAGAACTAAGACAACAGGATTCCATTGTGAAGAGATGGTGGGCTGTGCCAGAAGGCTTGACCATAGACAAAGTTGAGAAAGAAGGAGGGCTCCATGACTAATGTCTAGTACAGGATCTTTTTCAGCTGAACACAGAACTTGGAGAATTAAATGACCTATGTAGATCTTTCTTTACCCCAAAATAAAGCACAGGTATATAACATGTGCACAACATTTTACTTACATCAGGATTTTCTCTATGTCATGATTCTTCATAAATTTGTTGAAAATGTATATTAAATATATACTAAGCTTTCTCTCCCTCACTGTTCAAAGTGTTGAGAGAAGAGCCAGGAAAAGGAAAGACAAACAGCCAATGGGGTGGCTCAGTGGGTAGAGGAACGGGTTTCTTGGCCTTAAAACATGAGCTTGGTACTCAGACCCACATGGTGGATGTGGGGGGAGAGACGAGAGGAGAGAGAGAGAGAGAGAGAGAGAAAGAGAGAGAGAGAGAGAGAGAGAGAGAGAGAGAGAGAAGATTCCCACACATTGTCCTCTGACCTCCATGTGTACACCAGAACATGTACATAGCCCACACACATATACATATACATGTGTATGTATATATGT